TCCAATTGTCTTCCAAAATGTCTGGATCTCCACTCCTACGACACTTGAAGGTGAAGCCACTTGACAACGAGGTGTGCCTCTTGGAGGACCTTTTCGAACCATTCACCATCAAGCAAGTTGACATCCTGAGAAAGGAGATGGAAGCCATTGACAAGGAGTTCAACATGACCAGCAGTAGTCTTGCGGTCAGAATTCAGGATCTCCCGTTCAACAAGGACGTTCAACCATTGGTCATCCAAGATCCGCTAGTCCAAAAGTTTCAGAAGACGATGAAGCAGTACCCTGCAGGGACTGAAATCGATATCTCAAACAAGATCCTAATGACTGGCGATGCCGGAACATGTGGAATGGTTGCAAGAAGTTGAGACAATTGTGCATCTCATCCACTCAGTATGATGCATGCGCAGCATGCGTCCACACCATCGGCATTAACATGCCAATTACGTCACCTCCGGACGATGCGATCATATCCTTCTGGCAACCTGATCAGCTGAATAGAATTTGGGTCTTGTCTGCATCCAAATGCAATTGGGAGAATTATGATCCGAAGACTTGGCATGCGGTGATGTTTTCATCCGTTCATCAGTCATTCTCAGATGCGCCGGCTATCAAGCCGATGCCCATCGAGACGGACCCAAACGATCCAACGGATGAACCTCAACAACCTGACACACAGCAGCCTCCTGATCAACCGGACCATTGTCAGATCCTCCTCCAGATCCTCCACATCAGCCTGATCATCCCATGCCGCCAGCGCCACAAGCTGTATCGCCAGACAGTCCAGTAGATCCACCGTTGCTGCCACACGACAAGCCTGGCGGAGGAGATTCAGTGCTTAAACGGCAAAAACAGTCCATTTCATCCTCAAGCGGACTCAATCGACTGGGGGGTGATGTCTCTTTGCCGTCACAGTCGCAATCATCTCAACCAATTCTTCCGAGTGTCGTGGAACCTTCGCCACCTGCAATTCCGACGAATCCCGAAGCAGAAGACCATGAGCAAGATCTTGAACTGCCAACACTTGAGCAAGAAGAAACAACTGCACCCGTGCAGGGCAGTCCATCCAAGAAGCAGAAAACTGGGAAGAAGAAGAAGAAGCCAGATGACGACGATGAGTCACCTGAGCATTCTCCCAGAAATGAACCTGCATCTTCATCCAATTTCAATCCGAACAATCCAGCAAACTTGCCGGTACAATACGACAGTGAGGAAGAACTGATCCCTCATGTTCCAACCGCATCCGGCACTGGAAGTTCAGAGAGAACCATGAGATATACTGACCAAGAAGATGGAGAATCAGAAGACTGTCAGAGGACCAGAGCTTACAATGATCACGAAGCTGATCTCGTTCTCGATGAGGCACACTTGTCATTCATGACAGGCGAGCAGAAGATCTGTGCGAATACCGGATCCTTTACGGTTCCGAGAGATATTGAAGGCAACCCTGTCCTCCTTGGACGCGTGAAAGGGACCTTCAACCCATCGCCCCGCTGTGGATTCTCTCATCCGAATTACACAGATAAGAATCATGTTGACCGTTTGTGCAAGAACATGACCGACGATCCGTGCACTCTTAGTCTTGTACTCATCCAAGCAAGAATCCAAGAATCCTTGAAGGCTTCATCCACATCCGTACTCATTGGCAAGAAGCGGAAGGAAGCGACAGCCACCGAGACAAGAGCTTATCAGAAGCAATTCCATGAATCTAAGCTTCTTGAGTGCAAATCTTGGCTTGGTAACGAAGTGTTCGACTTGGTCGACACATGCAAGATTCATGTCAGGAACTGGGTCACCGGTCGCTGGGTCCTTACCCTAAAGCGAGACAAGGATGGTAACTTCCTAAAGACCAAGGCTCGCTGGGTCCTCCGGGACTTCCAAGACAAGCAGAAGAGACCAATCGCATGCTTTGTCCGCGGCGGACCTTCCGCAAGAGTGGAACTATTGGTACGGCACATTTCCACAAGGATGCTTCTTCGGAACCAAGAACCATTGCGCTGATGCCGAATACGACATCCCGACCTCTGACTGCCTGGCAACCACAGGAACATCCATGTTCATGGAACCCAAGAAGCACATTGGACCGAGGTTGCCGCCACGCACAACTGTCCAAGGACATGGGCGCAACAAGGAAATTGTCGTCATCCACCTCGAGCAAAGTGGTGAATTTCGTGGCGTGTTTCCAAAGTCATCCAATGACTCACTCCTCGAATTCGACAGCCGCCATGTAACGAGGGCAGACCTCCCGTTTGCTACCATTGGAGTTTTTCACATCCATCCATCAATCAGCCATGGAGCAGCACGGGACGATTTTCAAACCGAAATCATGCCGCTCGTGACATTGTATCAATGCGATGCGATCACCGGAGACGCCAACAAGTCCGCGAACACCTACAGCAAACTCCAACACGTCTACAGTGCGGCCAACGGTCTCATGAATATCCTCATGAAGGCGTACCAGAGATTGTGGAATGAAACGGAGAACTTGCCACTCGTGGACAGAATGGAATATGCAATGGGGACTTCCTGCACCCTGAAATCCATCGTCCGTCATCACCTACACATGAAGACTGGATCCGGGTTTGATCGAACATTCCCAGATGTTATGATGACCTTCGTATTTGGATGGGGCAAGACACATCCAGCAGGTTTTCCGGAAGGAAGGGATGAACGCAATGAAAGATGATCAACTGGAAACCATGCGGAACGATCCTACGTCTGCCATTTTCGACTATCAGGTCTCATCCGCGGAACGCTTCAAGCACGTGAACAACAAGATGTTCATGAATGGCTCACAAGATTCCGCTGATGGTCTACATCCGCAGCAGATCTGACACCAAGCAGCGAAACTTTGAGCGATCCAAGGAGTACCTCAAGAAGAAGCAACCCTGGACTCAGCAAGAGTACAAGGAATACAACAAGCAGCAGTGGGGCAATCCGAAGCAGTGGAAGGACTAAGGCGACTTGACCTGGAGACTACGGCAGTCAATCCGACAGCAGCTATCGGTGGTACCGTAGACTATCTGATGAAGCTGCCACCTCTGGCATCCATTTGACCTCCTTTGGTCTGAGTGATCCGCCAAGGAAAGAAGTTTTTCTGAAGCTCGACTGAGAGAACACCAGAAATCGGCACTACGAATTTCAACCGAATTGATCCTCACCGCCAACAAGACTATTCAGTGAGAGATCAATAGTTTCACATCCGTCCCGCATGTACATAGCGTTGTACATCATCTTTTAGATACATCTAGGTATCTCACAGAATCAGTACAGACTGTTTTCCATTTTGCAAATCAAGACATTTCATCCGCGCAGAAAACAGGATGAGTTCCGTATTTCAATACACATGGCTACGGCGTAATCAAGGCTACGTCCGAAGGCCAAGAAGTTAAAGATATTTCAAATCTAGCGCCGGCGATCAAAAGAAATTTGTGTCTGTTTTTGTGTCTGTTTCTGACCAATGTTGATCGCCTGCAACCATTTGGCTCAAGGCCCTTCTGTGTCATAGCAGTACTCATGAGTGCGTGACAAAGGAACCTTTGCAGGCCGCTTACAGGATTATACCAAGGGACAATCCACAAGGGACAATCCATCCTCCAATCATCCATATTTGCATATGGACCGAATAAACGACCTCTACTACCACAGGGTACCAGTTCCCTTCTGGGATAGGCACCCCGGCAGGGCCTCACCCCCCCCCCCCCCAGTACAGCCATGGGTTGACGGCACTTGCATGAGTTGCTCTGCTTGAAAGCTGGACAGGGAGCAGCACTTCAGCGAGATGCTGCATCTTCCAGCAAGGCACACGAGGGCAAGGGCTTTGCTTGCAAAGATCTTCTAGAAACTTGTGGCTTGTTTGACCTGCAAGCTTTAAATGCTTCGGGGAATGACTGTCACCTTTTGGTATGTGTTTATGTTGTGGATTCGTTGGCACACGCTAAATTATCCTTGCTACGGTCCATCGCAAGCCTAAGATTTCTACAGGCAAGGCAAGTGACAAACAGTGAGACCATGCCGCAGCCAGCCAATTTTTGACGGGGTGTTGCTATGGGGGGCCCATTGCTCTGTTGAAACGGGACAAAAGGGGAAGTGGTGGCTATTTCTGATGCGAACGGACATTGTCTTACGAGTGGGGGAATGCCCGGCGTTTGATTGGACGTGTTGTTGCCGAGGCTCGGAGCGGCAGCGGATTCCCTCTTCATCTGATGGAGCATCTGATCAAAGGATGTTGCCAGTAGAAGCTGCTGCGCCGCCCGTGAGCTATTTGACCCCGGCCAAGAAGATCCTTCACAAACTGTGGTGGAACTAGCAGCTTTGCATATATTAACAGTTAGTTTTGGCAGGCGCGGCGGCGTGCAGGGGCCTTCACAAAAACCAAGTCCACGACTTGCGTCATGCACGGCCTGCAGGATGCGCTGTTTCTATCTACGCCCGTGCCGAATCGGAGAAAAAGGTTTGCTCGCAAATGTATCTTTGGTTTAGGAGTCAGATATGCTTTTAGTATTTCTCCAATATTCGTTTTCGATGCCCCCAACTTTTCCTGGGTCAACTGGGCCTCGTGCTCGCCTGGGCCGATCCCTGGTTCCCCGTTGCTGCCACAGTTGCCAAGCCCAAATATCCCTTTTCTCGTTGTTGTTTTTGCGGTCATCTTCAGACAATGAAAAACATGTGTTGCAGTCCGCATTCGCTTGGCTTTGGTTGTTGTCTGGTTGGCACACGCAATCCTTTGTTGTCACACGCTGGCAAATCGCTGCGAATCAATTTGTTCTGAGACATTAGGACGTTTCCTGATGCTGTTGGGTCGCACCTCCAATCCATCAGCACGCAATGATGGTTGGATGGTTGGCGCTTGCGATGCTGTTTGGACGTGCTTGCGGTTCCACTAGCCCAAGTCCCGTTTTTTGTTTCAACATGCAGTCACGGTGGCAGTGCGAGCAATGCCCCGCGCTTTTTAGACGGTGACGCAAAGCGACAGGATCTGTTGATTTAGATGTTTGGCTCAGGCCGATAGACTTTTGCGACGAGGACCTGACCTGCATGTCAGATGGCCCGAGTGGTGTGGTTTGCAACCTGCACTGGTGGAGCCCAAAGAGATCCTTTTCTTTCCAGAGAGCACAAACCTGTTGGTTCAAGACATGCTTGCCCGGAGCCTGGGCCTCAAGCGAGTGAAAGTGACCATGACGCAAATTTGCTCAGCAGCGAATCTGCTGGAAGGTCTTGCCAAGTCAGACTTTGCGCTCGAGAGAGAGATCTCCTTTGCGAGCTTGAGGGAACCTTTTCAGCTTGCAGCATGTCAGGCTTGGGCGGGGCTGACCAGAGAAACATATGAGCTTCATGGCAGAGTCTGGCAATCGTTTGGCACACACATGTGGCGCACACAGAGACGAACATCGTGTTTGAACCGCTGCGCTGGCGTGTTGGATGACAGTTCAGTTGTGGCTGCGCTTCAAGGTTCGCAGCAGGTCACCTTTGCAATGAAAGCCACACTTTGACTTTGAATTGACAGGGCGCAGGTGCTCGGATGGTAGTGCTTTGCAAGGACATTGCCAGCAAGTGGTACAGCCAACCGACGTGGTCGTGCCCAAAGCTTGGTGAAAAACATGGGGCTGCTTGCGTTTGGAGATAAGCTTGGCGGATGCTGGCCAAGCCGATATCAAGATTGACTTCTAACCTCCGCGCTTGTGCACGTCCGATGCAGCAGGATATGTTCGAAGCCCTGCAAGAGGAGTCGTAGATTAATTTTCAAAGAGCTTGCCTTTTTGACTTGAGCAAGTCGCAGAACGCGGCAGCGAACTGATTTGGCATTGCCAAGAGCTTTTTGGCCAGTCGCAGCTTGATGCTGTCGTGCTTGGCAAACACGGTATTTCTGGCCACCGTCCTAGCCTGACAGTTGGCACCGGCAGCCCCACAACTTGGAAGACCTCGTGCTGACAAGGTGGCTCGCCTTGGGATGTAATAGAATGATGCAGTGCTGGTCTAGAGGGGCTGGCTGAAGGTAGTTCATAAGAGGTTGCATGTACGAAAACCCAACTATTCTGTCTGAACTGCTGTGCAGGAGGCATGTTAGATAGCATCATGAGGAGCTTGATGTTCCCTTGCCTTCGGAGCATGGCTTCCGATTCAATGATGAAGTGTTGGTTCAGCATTTGCTTTAGTGGCTTGCTCCGCAGTTTTGCATCAAGATAGTTCGCAAGGGGTTGCACTTTTAGTTGCCTTTGTGGAGACTTCGTTCCAAACAGTCGTAAGGGCTGAGACTCATCTCAGCCCTCACACACCTCAGCCTTTTGGCCCGTTGTCACGGAGCTTTCTGCCGTGATACTGCATGGAATGACGTTTGGCTTGGCTGAGAGAGAGGAGAAGCGTTGGATGGGCCTTGGCTTGAGCAAAGCGCAGAGCCGCAGCACCCGACCGGTTTGGTCGTGCCCAGAACTTCGTGGCAAGCTTCGGACTGCTGCGCTTGGCAGACCTCGGTACTGGTGGCACAAAGGTCTGCTGGCCGCGTGCGCTCACGCACAGGTTTCGAGTTGGATGCCTGCAGCATTGGCAGCACCGCATCTTCCTAGTGCTTACCCTCGTGAGGCTGTGGTGCGCATTGGGGTTCAATTCGATGAGGCAGTCTGGGTCTACATTTGCTTCACGACATTGCTGCGCAGGCAGAGAGTCCGGAATAGGTTTGAACTTGGATGCGGTTGTTATCAGAAAGCTCGACCAGCGGTTTGAATTAACGGGGCCTCGGATTTAGCAATGACTTTGCTTCAGCGTGGTGAAGCCAGCCGACTTGGCTGCGCCCAGATAATTGTGAAGTTTCAGCTTGCTGAGTTTCCGGAGCTGTGCGGATCCAAGCGGAGTGCAAGGTTGAGACTTAAAGCGCTGGAATACCGCAGCATCCCAGAATGTTCTTCCAGGGATTTCTGTCTGGATGTTGGCTGCTTGGTATGAGGTCGGTATTGGCTACCAGGGAGTTTCGCAAAGGGGCAGAGGTTTTGGGACGCAGTTCCCATGAAAGGCCCTAAGGCGACCTGCGGCTTGAGTTGACAGGGGGCAGGCTCGCCTGGCAGTGCTTTGCAATGACTTTGCAATTGCAATGACTGCGCCATGAGCAAGCGGTGTTGAAGCCACCGGACCTGGCATTGCCCAGAGCATTGTGAAGTTGCGGCTACGCGACTTTCCAGCGCAGCTTCGAGCCCATCCGAGCAGATATTGCGGCTGAGACTCATCTCAGTCACGCACGTGAGCATCCCAGAACGTCCTGTCAGCTGTTTCTAATTCGTTTTAAAGGGCTGCTTGAAATGAGGTGCGTATTGGCCGTCAGGAGAAGCGCCAGGTGTGGATAAGCTGACCAGCAACTTGAGTTTGCGAACATGCGCTGCTCGGATGCTCAATGTCTTTGCCAACAAGTGGCGTTGAAGCCAACCAACTTGGCCGTTCCCAGAGCTTTCTGAAGTTGCAGCTGCGCGAGTTTTAAGGCAAGATTGCGGGAGCCTGCCATCAGAGAAGCTATCAAAGCTGAGACTCATCTCAAGCACATTCGCCTTGATTTGAGCAAAGCACGGAGCCGTTGGACCAAGACGGAGCTGCCGTCAGTACTTTGCGAGAAGTTTCAGCTTCAGGCTGCTGCAAATGGCTTGCGCCTGCACTCGCACCTTTTGGGGTGGATGCCTTGCCTTGCAGCACCGGCAGCGTCACAACTTCGCAGCCTTCGCGCTGCCAAGATTGTGGCGCGTCTTGGGATTTGCTATTCAGTAATGCAGCGCTTGCTTCAGCTCGCTGCGTATCAACATACTTCCTAAGAGGCCGCACTTTTGCGTATGCCTCGTAATGAAACCAGGCCTGCGGCTTGCATTGAAAGGGCATAGGCGGAGTTCAGGTGCAAAGTGCTTTGCAATGACTTTGCAATGACTTTGCCAGCAGCGTGTTGAAGCCAAGCGACTTGGCTGTGCCTAAAGCCTTGTGAAGTTGCAGCTGCGTGAGTTTTCCGGCGAAGCTGTGTGGAGCCCATCCAAGCAAATATCACGGCTGAGACTCGTCTCAGCGCTCGAATACCGCAGCATCCCAGAATCTTCCAGGGTTTTCTGCCTGGATATAGGCTGCTTGGAATGAGGTCTGTATTGGCTGCCAGCTTGAAGGGTTGAATGAGCCGTTTTCATTCCAAGTTCTGCCAGCTTGAGATGATGCAAGGACATGCGCAGCTGCACTCCTGTGTCAGCCTTGCCAAGAGCCGGGCACCACTGTGCAGATTTCGTGGGATGTTGAACTTGAGTAAGTCGCAGCTTAGTCCACGGGAGCCTTCGGCTAATGTCATGCTTCCCTCCAATGTGATTCAGATGTATAGGATGCCTGCGAAGTTGCAGCCGCGCGATGCGAAGCTTCCGGCGAAGCTTTGTGGAGCCTGCCATGCATGAGCCAGAAGGGCGGAACACCGAGAGGTGACCCGCCAAAAGAGCTAAAGCTGTCGCGTCGCCAGTGCCATGAGCAGAATGATGTCGGCCTCACTCAAGCACAGAGCCGTTGGACCCAAGCAGCTTGGCAGTGCCCCGAACTTTGTGGCAAGCTTCAGACTGCTGGCAAAGACAGTGGCCACAGGACTGCTTTTTCAGCGCACGTGCTGCCTTGCCTTGCGCTGACACCACCATTTTGGAGTCCTTGCCCTTTCTGCAGTGGGGTTCAATTCAATGATGCAGTCTTGGTCGAGCACTTGCTTCACGGGCTGGTGGCGCAGCCAGGGCGTCCGTAGTTTTTTTTGTTTGCATGCGGTTCATCAGCTTGGATGGCCAGTGCGCAGGGGCTGCCTGGTGTAAGTTGGGCGGTTGATTTCATCCACCCGCGAAAAAGAAGCTTGAGACCCAGAGCAAGCAAGTACCACGAGGAAAGGATGAGCCAGACTATGGAAAGAGAGCGCAAGGTGCAAGAAATGCCTGAAGGGGAAGCAAATGGACCCAAAGGTCTTGGCGACTGCCTTCGTGGATGCGTAGTCTTTCTGCACCGTGAATGAATGCTTGGGGGGGTTCGCAGCTTGCTCATGTGCGCTCGCTGGATGGCCCTTGTCGCATGCCGCACGTCAGAATCCCAGGCGGTTCTCCCAGCTGTTTCCTCAAGGCTTGGAATTGGACGTGCTCTGAGGCTTGCAGGAGAAGTGTTTGACTTCACAAGTCTGGCACTGGATGTATCAACAAGAGTGGCTTGCAGGAGGAAGGTCATGTTTGCTTGAGCCTTGAGCAAAGAGTCCGACTCCGCGCGGTGAACGGTTCAAGCGCTCACGGTGCAGCGCAACTTTTCAATCCTTGCGCTTCAAGAGCTTGCCGCCTGCCGCCGGGAATGCGTCAGAGGTTGGAATTTGGATGTTCAGAAGGCTGACCTGCGGCATGAATTGAGAGGTGCAGACGTTGCTCGGATGGCAGTGCTTTGCAACGACTGTGTGTTGACTCTGCGGTGCTTTGCAGTGACCTTTACCAGGCTGCTTGGAATTGGCTATGCTTGAGCTTGCCAAGCTTCATGCTGTGCACCGCCCGCGCCACTGAGCTCGCAGGGCTCGTCTTCTGAAGAAAGGCTAGGCTGTACTTGAGATCTCACGTCTGCGATGTGTTGCACTTTAGATCTCACGAGCCGCTCGTCACCTGCAAGGAGCTGTGTGAGAGTTTGGACGCGCCCAGCGTTCTTCGCAAAGCCGGAGTCTGGAAGCTGCTCGGCGTGTTGCAGGGATTGGCTTCCATGGGACTTGCTGACGATGTGGCGCACGCACGGAGCGCATGCTTACGAGGCAGAGCTGAAGCTGCCCCTTCGTGCACCGGGTGGCTTTACAGCCCCCTCGATCCTCGAACCTCCGTCCGCTTTCAAACTGGTTTGTGTCCGCTGTCAGAGCTGTGTTGCTTGCTGCCAAAGCCTGGTTGACTTGCGTGCCCGGAACTTTCTGACGTCAAGCCGGCAACAATTAGCTTAAGGGCCTGCCTTTGCGCGCCCTTTTGAATTCCCCAGTATGCCTGTAAACGTCATTGGCGTAAGTCAAAGTCTAAACCAGGACAGCCTCTTGTAAGCTCGCTTATGGCACCAAGCAGAAGCAGGGGTCTGGATACATTCAGCAGAATGTCTTGCTTCTGGCCGATGTTCGGCTGGAAACCTTGAGTCCATTTGGAGCATCGCTTCCGAAGCTGAACCTCTCCGAAGTGTGCTTCGCCCATGCCGTGTCACGGGCGAAGTGCGGTCCCGGCCTTTCCACCGGCAGTTCCCGATTTCGAGAGGCCCGCAGCCTGATCCCTTCGCGATGTGCGCTTGGTTGCGATTGCAGAGAAGTCCGGCAAGCCGCGCTTGCCTCAGATCGCCTCAGGACTTTTGCAGCCGGTTCACGCGTGAGGACTTCTCCGTCCGCTTTGTCCCGAATCCACAGGCTGAGGCGTGAAAGCGGCGCTGTGGCTGGCATTCATTTCAGCCTTTGATGCCCCTTCTTGTGTGTACCAAGCTCCTGATTCAGGAACCCTCCCCCTGCCGGACAAGGATTGATTTGCACATGACAAAACCTCCGGCTGGCGCTCTCTGCACGGGCATTGCATAACTGCTCAGTCATGAAACCTACTGTGTGAAAGCGCTGGTCAAAGGCACGGAGTGTATCAGCAGCTATTGTAGCTCGAACCCACCGACCAGTCTCGGCGTGCTGCTGAGGAGCACGCCTCACCATCGGCTTCCATCCTCCCAAAAAAGAAGAAACACGAAACACAAGCAAGAGAAGCTGTGAAGAGGCCACAAGTGGCTAGCAGGGGGGTTTATGCTTTGTGTTGGGTGTTGGTTGGGTCTCCGAGGGCTATGTGGCCATTGCGCCCAAAACGCCGCAGTGTGCTTTGCGGGTAGGTCTCTGTCGACGGAGATCTCCGCAAATTGCCAGCCTAGGTGATCTCTTTGCGGGATGCAACATAGACATCCAGATCATCCAGTTTATTTTGAGCATTTCGGCTGAGTTTTGAGAGGTTTCGAATCATACAGCCGTGCCGACTTGCGAAGCACATTGCAAACTTGAAGTCTTACACGCTTCGATGCGAGCGATAATTTCACCTCCGCGGCTGAAATTACCAGTGCAGGAGCCAGTGCAGTTCGCTTCAGACTTGGGCTTCAAGCGGTTCGGCAGGAGCAGGAAACACGTTTCGATGAGCTTGCTCATGCTAATACCAACCAGCATCAGGAGTGGGGGTCTGGTGAAATTTGGCAGAGCGGCAAATCAGCAAGAGCCGGCGCATAGGAGTAAGCAGAGAAGCCTTGGCCAAACTGTCCTTGAGAGCCTGGACACTTCTTAGGAATCGTGCCCTTGGGAAGCTCATGTCAATCGAAATTACGCTTGGTAACTGATTTGATGCCTAGGCATCGGGCGATATCAAAGGAAGTCACACTTGGCTACACCGAACATGTAATTGGCAATGCTCTGATGTGGTGCAGTCATCGGAGCTTCTCAGAAGTCCCGCGCGCACAGTGGCATGCCTTCGGAACTCTCCCGATGCGCTGGGCGCTCTTCACTCAGAGTGTCCCGTCTCCCGTCTCTCAAACATATTCTGCCAAGGGGGGGGTAGTGGAAATTGATTCTCTGGTTGCCTTTTTTGTGTCCCAGATCAAAACCTGATCGTACATGTTTGCATGTTTTTTCCTTGCCGGCCAGCAGATTTGTTCGAGAAAGTTTGCAGATTTGGCGCCAATTTATCGTCCACACTCCCACCCATGGGGAAAACAGCACGCAACGTGTGCAAAATAGAAGTACCCACCCTCTCCCTCTCTTGACCTCGAAATGTGCTCAGCTGATGCAATCCACTGGACGGAAATGCGTTTCAAGCTGGTGAGGACATCTGGGCGAGAGTGGCGGCAATGTGGGTATTGACCATGCGAACCCCTCGGTTGTTTGTTGCCAAAGCTGCCTCGTGACCATCATGGGTTGGCAGGTCGGCTTTCTTGAAACACCAGCCGGTTCATTCCTCAGGACTTTCCATTCGAATTGAGAGCCCGACGAGAAACTCGGCCGAGGTCGGAAATGCCCGCTGAGGTCGCATGCGGCTTTCTCTCGGGAGCGGGCGCCAAGCACTGTGAAGCAAAGCAAGGGACGGCTCACGATTCTTGCTGGCCAATGGACGCAGTTGCCTCCAATGGACGCACGCAGTTGTCTCTTTAGCACATGCCTGTCCCGGCATGTGCCATTCACCGGAAGGAGATCGCTTCAGTCTTTTCTTGCCTAGCAGGAGCGTGGGTGAAAACAGTCGAGTACTGAGTGGTTGAGGTTGGGCGATCCTGGGATTCAAGGTTCCAGATGGAACATAGCTGAGGCAAATTGGACCAACCTTATTGGCACGCAAGGCAACCTAAGCATGGATCAAGTTCCTTTCTTGAGGTGAGAGCTCATTTCAACTTGAGTTTGTTCAGATCTGTTTCAGAACTGATTCTGAAGCATTTTAGCCATGGGGTGACTTTGTGCAAGAGTGTGGCCGTCATCTCTGTTCTACACGGCATTCCATGCAGCTAGAGGCAAGAATTGCGAAGCTCAACGCTTTGAGAGTTCCAGCTTTTTTGGGGAAAAGAAACTGATGCTCAATAAGCATCTCAAATACATGACGATTGGAAGTGCGCTGAACAACCAGATCAAGCTTGCAAGAACAGATCGTGATGTTGTGCGAACTACGCGACTTTTTACTGTGCCTGCAAATGTTCAAGATTCTCTTGGGCCAAAATGGGTTGGTTCCACAATGTGCCATCGAGAACGGCAACGCGCCTATTCCGGTTCTTTCTTTTCGGTTTTGCGTGTTGACCATTCGGTGAACTTTGGAACTGCAATGGCCCTGGTTCCTAGCTACGTCCCATCTTTGACTTGAGCTGTAAAAACAAATGCGACTCTGGAGTTGCACGAGGCTCTTTCACGGGCTCTTTCACCGGCTCTTGCACAAACAGTCACAACGCAAAGAATACAGAATCAACACCTTCCAAGCTTTGGACAAATCATTCAAGCGGTTGTGCTATCCAATCATGCGGTCTCAATGCGTTGAAGACCAGCTTCCTTCAGGGTTACCGCTCCTGTTTGGAACTAAAAGGATCATGCAACTCTGACATCGTACTTGCCCCAAGGGTTGGAGGTTCTTGCTTTGCACACGCCTTTCGAATCCTAAACCTTCAGGCAGGTTTTGAGACGTGGTTCGAGTAAGCTTGCAGCGCCGATCTATTTCTCTGGAATGTCCGCAAAAGAATCCTGGAAGCATATTTTTCCGCGCATCATGTCCGACAGACAAATCTGGAGCGTTTTTGTTTTCGCCAATCTGTGGGCTCAAAGAACCCCCCGGGACCGAGCGAGCAGCCGGGGGGGTTTGAGCGATTTCCTGGACCGCGCCTCAGGCATCTTGCAAGTTTGCGGAAAGCTCTTTCTTCTTTGGAACACGGGGCCACAGATCCAAATTTGGTGACATTCCTCGCAAAATGAGCTAAACTTAGGCGGCACTTGGGGAGGTGTTGCTGCACTTGAGCTGTCCCCGGTCTGCAAGTTTGGTGTTGCCAGGTTCTGCGTGTGCACTTATTTGATTTGTTCTTTCCCCCCGGGAATAGGGGCATGTGGTGATTTTCTGGTTTCGGAGCTGGCCTGGGATAGGTGACTGGCAAGTTCCGACAGGCCCACTCGTGCGGGGGCCATGTCTGAGCTCTTGCAGAACTGGCTGAACAATGAGGCCATCCGAAACCTTGAGCGAGCTGCTGGTCATGTAGACTCCATATTAATCAACCCTGTTTGTTCATATGGGGGTGGGGGCCCCTCCAAAAGGGGTCTGATTCCCCACTAAACCCAGGGACGCCCCCCTAATAAACTGACTGGGGTTGATTCATATGGGGTCTACATAAAAACAAATAAATGGTAGGGGCTCTGATTTTTATAGGGCAACACCCTCGAAGCTGGTTTGTGGGCCGGGCTTCTTGAACATGGCCCAGATGGTCCAGACCCGGGGGCAGCTTGCTGCAAATGCGCGATGCCAAGTCCGGGGTTTGCAGGTCGGCCTGTCCACGAATGTGTCCAACTTCGAGAAGGCTTGCGTGACTTAGCCATGCGGCATCCGCCTCTTGAGTTTGGGATACTCAAAGAGCGGGTCCTTCGCATTTGTCAATGTAAAAGTGCTTGGATGTTTGCCTTGCTGTGAGGGGTGAGTCTAGTCATGTCGGTGCGTCAGCGACAGATCAAGTCTCATCTTTCCTGGTCTCGCTCTCCGCAGGACTTCTCTTCGGGCTATCTCTTCGGGGAGATTCTGCACAAGTTCTGGCAGGCGAGAGAGCGTAGGAGTTGAGCGGAGCGGCTCCAGTGTGGCTTGGTTTGCGTTAACCTTGGCTCAAGAACATCCAGAAAGATGGAATGTTTTTCGTGGGACTTGTGCCGTCAGGCGGACTTCGAGCAGTTTCAAAACAAGCGCTCCAGACCGCATTCAAGTGCCGGCTCGAATATGAATATGAGCCACAATCAAAACCCGGGTAGATGAAGGTTAGTAAGGCCACTCCCAGCCATAAATAGCTGCGGAAATCCCCCTTCTTAATTCTGTACATGGTGCTGGGTTCGCCATTTTAATACCGGGTTTTGATTGTGGCTCATGTGGGTCTGTCTCGCTTTTAGGGAGCCCCATTTTGGTTGGTGGTTAAGGGGGCACGAAAAGGAATCCCGTCATTTTGGGCTATGGGTATGTGTTATCAGGGCTTCAAAATGGTTGGGTTCCCCTCTCTATTTTTGACGAAAAGGTTCCTCATGTCTATGGGCGAATGGGTCAAAATCCCGTACCCGCAGTGAACATCCCAATCCCCACTAAAATAGACTAAAATGGGTGGTGCATCTACCCCAAAATGGTACCATTGGTGTTGACTCACAGCCGATTGGGCAAGTCGTCCAGTGGAAGGTGCTTGCACAGCAGCATCCACCTTCCGTCAAGACATAGTAGGCATGTCGGGAAGCTCCTGCTTTGAAGCTCTTGCTCACCGCTCGCATTTTTCTCCCTGTGATTGCTCGGGGCAGATCGCTTGGGGCTTGCTATCAGTGAGCAAGGCTACTTTGGGCAACCAAAGCCCTGATGGCTTTTTCTTGCTATACGTAGTTTGTTCTTGCTTTTTGAAGGGCAACCGGAAAGAAGTCCACATTATGGAGACAAAACCATCAAGTATTGGAGACAAATGTGGCCACCCTTGAAGACACCCCGTTTGGGTTGCCTGAGGCAAACCCCATATCAAACCCACGAGCCTCCCGATGCCTTGAGACCCCTTGAGCCTCCCTTGAGCATAAAAACCACCTGGGTACACCGCAAACCCGACACGCCCTTCTGGGCATCGCAACGCTTGATTCAGCTCCCAACACCAGTCCGTCAGTCATGCACACACACACACACACACATCATGATCCCACCATCCAATTCCGAGTCTTTCGAGTCTCAATAGGTCAAACCTGTGTTGATCTTCCCCCCCCCCAATCTTCCCCTCCCCCCCATCTTCCCCTTTCTCCCGTGTTGATCTTTCCCCCCCTCGCCCTTTTAATCAGGACCACGTGGGGCACCTCTGCGCGCTGAGGAACTCGCACCAGGCCAAGATCGGAAACTTCAAGACCTTGGAGCCGATCCTGAAGGCGTCTTGCGACGGGAGCGGCGGGGTCTCCGCAGTCGGTCTTGGTATTGGTGTGTGAGTGAGTGAGTGAGTGAGTGAGTGAGCGAGCGAGCGAGCGAGCGAGCGAGCGAGCGAGCGAGTGAGTGAGTGAGTGAGTGAGGGAGTGAGTGAGTGAGTGAGTGAGTGAGTGAGTGAGTGAGTGAGTGGGTGAGGGAGTGGGTGAGGGAGTGAGCGAGGGAGCGAGCGAGGGAGCGAGGGAGTGAGGGAGCGAGGGAGCGAGGGAGCGAGGGAGCGAGGGAGCGAGGGAGCGAGGGAGCGAGGGAGCGAGGGAGCGAGGGAGCGAGGGAGCAAGGGAGCGAGGGAGCGCGGGAGCGAGCGAGCGAGCGAGCGAGCGAGCGAGCGAGCGAGCGAGCGAGCGAGCGAGCGAGCGAGTGAGTGAGTGAGTGAGTGAGTGAGTGAGTGAGTGAGTGAGTGAGTGAGTGAGTGAGTGAGTGAGTGTTTTTGTTTGTTTGTGTGCTTGTTTGTGTGTGTGTGTGTCTCCATGGTTCCCTTTTTGGGATAGTTTTATAGTTCAGCCAAAAGGAAACCACCATGTGTGGTGGTCCCCCCAAATATGGAGACGCACAAATATGTATCTTCGGGTGAAGGATCAGTGGAGTGCCCAGACATGGGTGGAACGCGTGCGTTCCAGTCAAATTCGGATTGCCCGGTGGTGGCTTTCTACCCCCCTTTTTGGTTGGTTTTGGGATATCAACACGACCAACACTATTTTGGGGCTCCGAATCCTCAAAAAGACGAGCCACCCGCGGGGGATTCCTTCGATCGGGGGAGTTGCGGCGCAGGCCCTGGGCATCAAGTTCAATGCCACGCTCATCAACGCCGCCGGGAAGCCTCAGAGCTATGCGTGCCAACGTGGACGTGTGGACGTGTCCGCGAGTCGACATCGGGGGGATGGTGGAGCCGCCAGCCACCCAACCAACCAACCAACCAACCAACCCAACCCAACCAACCCAACCCAACCCAACCCACCCAACCCAACCCAACCCAACCCAACCCAACCCAACCCCCCAACCCAACCAACCCAACCCAACCCAACCCAACCCAACCCAACCCACCCCAACCCAACCCAACCAACCAACCAACCCAACCAACCAACCAACCAACCAGGCAACCAGGCAACCAGGCAACCAACCAACCAACCAACCAACCAACCAACCAACCAACCAACCAACCAACCAACCAACCAACCAACCAACCAACCAACCAACCAACCAACCAACCAACCAACCCAACCAAACCAACCAACCAACCAACCAGGCAACCAGGCAACCAACCAACCTAACTACCTACCTACCTACCCACCTACCTACCTACTTACCTACCTACCTACCTACCTACACCCACACGCCCCCCCTCCAACGAATCAACCTGACCATCCACCCCACACCCACCAACCAACCTACCCCACACCCACCAACCTACCCCACACCCACCAACCAACCAACCTACCTAACCACCCAATTTCCCCCAAATGATTTTTGGGCAAGCAGCTGGGGTCCAAGGTCATGAACGGCGAGCGCGGCGCAGCTCTGCGGCCTGCCGGGCGATGTTTTATCCTTTTGGGCAAGTGTGTGTTTCTTTTCGATGCCGTTTTCAGGTTGAGGTTGGGTTGTATTTGGGACACCAAAAGAAGAACCACAGTCTTATGGGCTTCCGATTTTGACACGTTCCCTTTTTGTTGGTTCAGCAGCGGTTCCTTGCAAGCCGGCCATGTTTTTTTCCCCAATTTGATATGTATGGATGCTCCGCACTTTGCTTGTGTAGCCTCGGTTAGCAAGCTCGCTCCGTATGCTCCAGCTGAAGAAAAGCTGATGTCACAGCAATGCGCAGAGGCATCACCAAATAGATCGAAGCCAGCTCTGGAAGAGTTGTTGGCATGCAGTGGACAGAGAACGCCCAGCCTTGAAATCTCCAAGTGCCTTCACATACCATCTTGTAATTGGGGAATCAAGACTCACCAGACACGGGGTCCAATCAGCAGTTGACGCTTTGCTTGAAGCCATATCGCCGGCTTCAGCTGGTGACCATGCCTGAGGACTTTTGGGCTTTGTGGGGGTACAGGGTACGGCTCAAGTCAGGTTGTGGCCAATGCAATCCCTTAGAGCAAAATAACAGTACTGTAAACGTTTGTGTGCGAACTTGGTTTTCAAGGGCACCCTGGTCCTGGTGTTCTCAGTCTTCATGACACTTGCCAACCAGCTGCAGCTTGCTGGTTTTGTGACCTCCATGTATATTGGTTGATCGTGTGTGCACCCCGCGTCATTCGGATTGTTGCACTGAGTAACTGGATGGGGTCACCAAAAAGCGATTTGAGCACGGTGGTTATTTTGTTGCTGCGGGGAAGCAGCATCAAAGCCAGCCTCTCCCCGTTGTTGGGCTCCGTTTGAATACACAGCCACCTGCTGAGACCGCTGACCTCTATCAAAGCAGACCTTCCTGTTGGCTCGGTGGCTCTTGATGCACAACAGGACGCCATGCGCGCTCATAGGTGACGGTTTCTTGCTGCTTGCCCACTTGAGCCAAATTCAATTGTAGGTTTGCTGGGGATATATGCCAGAATTGTCCCAATGCTCAAATGTGATTCCTGCTTTGATGTGGGTGCCTTCTTTTCTCACCGGTTTGCCATGTTTGCCTGTGGGTGATTGCTTACTCCCTTATTCATTTCTAGGCGCCTCAACTTATTCAGTTGTGGCCCTTGGACCCTGCCACCTTTGGGTGCCTTTTTTGGCTACCCCGGTGGGCTTCCGTGTCCGCCCTTATTGATTTTGGCTGTGACTAACGTGAGACACCATGAACACTTTGAAGGTTTAAGGTTGTGTGACAGTTCCGACCGCAACCAAAAAAAACACATGCCCCTGCCGATTCTTGGCACGTTGTTTTTTTTATTCGTCTCGGTCCGCCTTTTTGACCGAAAGGGTCAGGTCGTCCCTTCGCACCGAACCTTCCTGCCTCGAGGAGCCGCCGGAGAAGCGCCGGAAAGCGGAGCGCCTCGTCGTTTCGAAGCGGGAGCAATTTGGGCGGGCGGGCCTGGAGAGATGTCCAGGTCGAGGGCGTTTTTGCGAGGCCAGGGGGGCTTCTTGAGACATTTTCTCGGGGTTGGTTCAACTCTCCCATTCTTTTCAGGCATCGTTCTTTTCAAAAACCAGCCATTTCCCCAGGGTTTTTGGTGGTTTTCTAGAAAGAAGGATCCCTGGAAAGAATGGGAAAGTTAACCTTAGACATTTGGGACCCTCAAACATGGCTTCGGTGTTCCTCTTGGTTTCCTTTTAACAACCACACAAAAAGGGTACCCTGAGAAAAGACGGCCCCGTTTCGGAAGTCGAGACTGTCAGGGATGCCAGGGAAACCAAGATTTCTGTGCCAGTGCTTTGGCATGTATCATGTTTCAGTCCTATCTCTTTGCAACATGAGGGGAGGAGCTATCTTTCAAGAGCGCTTCTGCCATTCACCCCGACTAGTTGGTCAGCCGGCCAGTCTCTTGATTGAATTCCGGGAGCCTTTGGCAACGCAAGCCGGATGTGTCAAAGCCAGAAACTCCTGGCAGTATTTCAATCTGGTTTCCTTTTGAACGAAGATCAAGCAGGGGTCTTTGTCTTTGAGCCGCGCATCTATGCCTTTACCGGGTGGCACTCCAGAGCTTTGCAGTTGTGCCTCCCCGCTTGCGACTTTTGCCTGGCCATTTCTGTTCGGGCGCATGGCTGCCCATCGCACGCAGACACACACACACACACACACACCCACTTGGCAACAAATTTACCAGCGCACCCCTTGAACGTGGTTGGACATTAATCATTTTCCACCCACCTGATGTCCACGAAAAGGTTCCCACAATTCAATCCGATTTGGGTGTGTCTGAAAATAGGGAGTCCCTCCCTTGCAAGTGAGCCCAACAAGGCCACCATCCTTGGTTGACCCGGTCACCCCAAGGGTCCGAACCCCAAAATCGTTCTTTTCCTTTTCGTTTGTTGGCCCAAAAACGGGCCAAACGAGGACAGACCCATCCGACTGCTTTGGCTTCCGAACGTAGGTGGCCGGCCTTTGGCAGCGGCGTGGGCGAGAGCCGGTCTTCGGATGGATCCGCACGGGTCCGTGTGGAGGCTTCGCCCCGCCTTGGGGGGGCGAAACAGGCGAGTTTTTCCCAACCCACACCCCCAAAAAGAGAAACAGATCCAACCAAGAGTGAAGATGGGGGGATGGCGAACACTTTTCTTTCTAGCCCTCGTGTTTTTTCGCTTTTTTTCCCAGCTGAAAGCCTTGAGCTCTGGAAAGGTTCTGGGGGATACCACCTGAGCAGGCTACGGCTACACCCGGAAGTTGTGGACCTCCAGCAAGGACCTCTAAGAACAAAAAGAAAAAACCGAGCAGTAGCTCTAGTCGCTTCTTGGAGGGGGCTTTGGCCACGAATTGGCTTCCCTATCTGATCAGTCTTCTGGGTCACTTCTCGACTGGACCATGCAGCAGGCTCTGGGCGCGCCGACTCGAGGTCTTTTGGTGAGACCTTTTGCGTGGCGCATGACAAAGAATCAAGGAGGCGTGATGCAACTCAGGAACCATGGCAATGGTTCGCACAGGGAGTTTTGACCATAGTAACATGGCATTTCTGAGTCGAAGCGGCCGAAGTCATGCAACTGCTTCTAGATATCTATGTTTGTTTATGGTTTTTCAGAGGGAGCTCCCTGCCAAATGATTGGAGGACATAGATCTTCATGGACGATGATAGAATGACCATCAAAGCGTCGACAATTCAAAATTCGAACAGTCCTTGCGCGACAGAAAATGAATGGTTCAAACGAAGCAAGTACTCGCAGACAGGCTATCTATGACGCGAACAACATGACATCGTGTTTGATTTTAATCAACTTTCCGGGGAGAGAGCACCACTGCAACGAAGAATGAGAACTCAGGATCAAGCCCGAGCTGAGCAGGGGATCTTCTGCGCGTCTGAGCATCTGTGTGCTCCGATCCGGAAAGCGCGGAAACCGGCCCAAAAGACTGAAATCCGACCCACAGAAGTACCGGCACCATAGGTGTCCTTTTGGGTTGTTTTGGTAGACAAATAGATGGCGATTCCTGGTTTACCTGGTGGTTTAATCATCTACCAGGGCCAGCCCCATTTTGCAACACATTTGCATCAGGCAGCCAGAAGTTGAGTTTGGCAAATTTGTGGTTTGACTAGGGCCTCAAGCTTTGGGGTCACTGTGAACCACCGAAGGATGGAAGCAAATGCGAAACCGACAAATTGGCTTGGGCACGTACTTGCCAGAAAGGGCTGGCTTAAAGCTTCTTGGATAGGTGATCAGGCGGGGGGGTTCACTAGGGTTCTAAATAGGGACACTCCAAAAATGGTGGGTTGCTTTCGTTTTCCTTCGAACACCTGAAAACAACAACCCTCGAAAAAGGACACACCCACTAGGAATCAACAGGCGTTTTGTTTGAATAGCCTGGGGATCTTAAAGGAAACCACTTGCGGGATGCTTCAGTTTGGGCTCAACTCACAAGCCCTACCCATCGAAGCAGCCAGTTTTGGAGGATCCCCTTCCGACCCCGAAAGGAGACACCCCAAACGAGCCGCTTGCAATTAAAATTCGGGTAGATGCAGGCGAAGGGATTCTCCCAAGCATAAGCTTAATTCTTTACATGAGTCACAATCAAAACCTGGGTAGATGAAGGTTAGTAAGGGACAATCCCAGCCATAAATAGCTGCGGCCGCCTTCTTAATTCTTTACATGGGCTTGGGCTTGGACCGTTTTGCTGCCGCGTTTGGGAAGCTCCAGGTGGCGGACGCCACGGGCAGAGAACCGCCGCCGGCGGGGCCCATTGCCTGCGGACTCGGGCGCCTTGGATGGAGGGGGACGGATCCAGGTGCTTCGTGGGGTTTGGCCATGAGCATCACTTGGGTGTGGGTCAAAGTTCAATCACCAGGGTCTGGACCGCAGGCTTTTTGGTTTTTGGCTCCTTTTACCAGGGCAAGCCATTTTGGGGTTACCCTATTTTTGACCCACAGCCACTTGGTTCCGGCGAGTCGCAGCTTTGGGCCCAAGTCTTCGAGGTGTGAGCCATGGGCACTGGAGGACTCGTGGTCTTCCGCTCCGTGCATGGTGGCCAGACGAGTGTCTATGCTTGCGTCTATTTTCAGTGCGACGGGTACTGGACGTCTCTTGGAGTACGACTCGGCGAGTTTCTGGAATCCTGTGTGCTGGTGAACGGCTTGGGTGCTAGCAATCCAGCCGGGAGGGTCTGCAACGGCTTCGACTGCCTGGTGGCGCAGTTCATCGCCGCATTTAAGACCGGGCCCGGGCACCTCTATTTGTTCCCCACCGACCGTAAGCTTGCCATGGAGTTTGTCTATGTGGTCGAGTGCCGAGAAGATCCTGATGTGATTCTGTCCGTGAAGACCTGGAGCAGCGGAAAACCGGAAGATGAGCATGGGGCCAAGTCAATGAGCCCATCCGACTTCCGGGCATTCTGCGAGCGGAACGGCGCAGATGCGGCAGAGGGTGAGGCGCCCTGCGCATCAGACGCAATGAAGACGGTGGAGACTTGTGAGGCAATGCAGACGATGGACACTTGTGAGGCAATGAAGACGGTGGCCACTTGTGTACCAAAGAAACGGCGCAGGGTGAGCAGGGCTGAAGACTGAGTCACTTTTTGAGCGCGACTTTTAAAATTAGCAATGACTGTACAGGACAAGGTGTATGCAAGATGCGCCTATAATAGGAGTGCTACGCAGCAAAAGTGGAGTGGGGGGGCGGGGGGGGCGGGAACATGATTCTCAGTTGGGAGCAGGGATTCTTGAAAACCTCTTTAAGTTGCCGCTCATGCGCAGTGCCAGCTCGGTGTTCCCAAAAATATTTGGGGCGGTTCCCTTGTTTGGTTCCTTTTCAAGCCTCCAAAAGGGACCCCGGCAATTCCGAACCCGTTTTTGAAGCGGTCCCATCCCAAAATCTCACACCTTAAAACCTCTTGTTTCAGGTTTCACCAGTGGCCAAAAAGTTTGAACTGGCCAAACTCAGCAGGGCAGAGATGATTTTGGGTGTAGGTCAAACACAAACTCAAACCCTTTGAGTCAAGCCAATGGAAGAAGCTGACCTTCCCGCCACCTCAAGCCCCCAAAGCCTTCCGAGCCGCAAGCTTAAGCTGAAGCCCCACATAAGTCGAGCGCTTTTTCCTGGCGCCCCTTGCAGTTGCCTTAAAGAGAAACCTCCCCAGTCCCCCTTGCAGCCGACATGAGGTCAAGAAAAAGCGCCCCCAGGGTTCAGGGCAGTTTGAGATCGCAATGCCCAGCCCCCTAGCCTACCGACCGACTGGTCAGTTGTCAGCGTTGGAAGCACTTTGAGAAGGACTTGAAATGGATAGCTGGCATACCAGGCTTGTGCTTCCCCTGCTCAAGCATGAAAGATGACAGAACAAATTGGTAGTCTCCCGTTCGCCTTTTCTTTACAACCAACCTGAAAACGGAACACCCTTTGCCCCCGGGATAAAAAAAAACAAAAACAAATCCCACAGACCCGCCATGTGCATCCGACGTCCCCCGGGTCCTCCCTACGAGCGCGGAGGTTTTTGGACCACATGGTGGACCAGCTGAACTCCCACGCGCAGCTGCGGATCTCTTTGCAGGAGAAAATTCGAGAAGTCGAGAAGCGAAGTTTTTTTTCGGGCTCGGGTCGGCGGTGGGAGGTCTTTTTTTTTTCCTTCTTTTTTTTCTTTTTTCCTCCGGTGCCACTTTCAAGGGGCCTGGAAAGGAGGGAGGAGAGAGGCGGGAGCCAAAGCCCAAATAAGCCCATATAAAGCCCTTAAGGCCTTGTCTAGGGCTGATTTGGGCTCTTTTCCTCCCTCCCCTCCCCCCTCCCCAGCCCCCATGACACTTTGTTTGGGCGCGTCGAAGGGAACTCACGGAGACACTCATTTGAGGGTGCCGTCTCGTGTAAAAGGGAAATCGGAGGTGAGTCAACCACTTTGTGCTTTCCTCAGAAGATACACTCGCATGACTCGTCTTGCGACAGGCGGCAAGTGCAGTTGCATGTGCATTCCCCACGTGAACATGCGCAGAGGATAGCAGGAAGGGGTGGTGGTGCTGAGGTAGCGAGGATTCAAGGCTAGATGTCTTGTCCTTTTCTGTTTTCAGCAACAAGTCTGCAGCTCAAAGCCAGAGTGTGGAAGGTTCTTGCTGGAGGACATGCACGTCTCGGCATGGATTAAGAGAACAGCATACCTTCGCCCTTGCCAATGGCGGCTGTTGATTTTGGTCCTGTGTTCCGATTCCTCTCTTTTTCCCCGAGCTTCACTTGGGCTGTGTCAACCGGTGCTCGGTGCCCCCGAAGCCGCGGCCGCGCGAGCCGCGAGGCTTGGCTGGGGGATGAGCTCGTGGTGCCCCGCTCCAATTGCGCCTATGAGGGCTGCGATGCTGAGGCAGAGCTAGGGACCTGCGATGCTGAGGCAGTTGATTTGAAGCTGGGTCTTTTTTGAGCGGTTGGGAATGGCTTGGGGGGGAAAAAGCGGTCCAACAAAAAGCCACAATGCCCCCGCTGCCAACTTAAGTTGACTCCAAGCCAAGCCAAGACCAGTCCTACGTTGACTCCAAGCCAGGCCAAAACCAGTCCACTTTGAGCCTCAAACCCCACCCTAGCCTCAAATCAGTCCAATGAAACATGCATGGTGATGGGGAGGTTACCTCTCTCTTTGCCCCCACTAGCCCTGCAGGAGAAATAATTTCCGGGGTTCCCTACTTGTGCGCGTCCCCAAAAGAATCCGGGAAACCACACAAAAAAGAGTCTTTCTTTGGTTTCCCAGGCAAACCCCAAAGGGGTGTCCTCCAAAAGACCCCTCCCCGGCCCCATTTTCTACCATTCTGACCATTCTGATTTCATCATCTGTTGAAGGTTCAGAGCACCTTGAAGATGGGTACCCGTTTTGCCGGTGGTGGATTTTCAAAAGGGGTGGAATGGTACCGCTCCAAACACGAAAAAAGAGCACTGAGACCACCCCGGTGGTTGCACGTTTGCGCAAATCTCTGTACTCGTTTGTATCCAAGTTTTGCAACGGGCAAGTTGCTTCGGTGGGTCTCTTTTGGTTTTGCAGGTTGCCGGATTCGAATCCGTCTTTGGTCCCCTGTCATCCTATCGGTTTCTACTGGGTATTTTCCTTTTGGACGGGTTTTCAAGGACCACCTCCCCCCCCCCCCATCCCGCGGGAGTGTGGCGGTAGGATCCTGACCAATGGACCAGAATAGAACCTTCAAGCGGTCCAGGCAGAGGGGCATCATTTGGCCGTCGGGTCCAGCCTGTTTTCACCAGCTTGCGTACTCAACAGTGCAAAAGCAGCATTCGGCACTTGCAAGTAGCCCGAGGGAATCCAATGCAGGTGGCTCGGCTGGTGGGCTGCGCCCTTGGCAGGGCCTTGCGGGAGATGCTGAAGGAGAAGCTGCCGCCGGCGCCTCAAGGAGGGCTCTGGGGAGCTGGGAGGAGCTGGGAGGAGCTGGGAGGAGCTGGGGGGTGTTGGGGAAGCGGGGGTGGCCTCTCCGGTTGTCGGGCATGCTGGTTTTTAAGCTTTGCTGCTTTCAATGGACTAGCCTCGGAAGATGTTGTGATGGCCGCCGAAGATCACAGCCAACTCTGTTTGCTATCCGGAAGCATTGGTCATACAAAGCTCTTGCCCTGTCCACCGCCGCCAACTAGGAAGGCCCATCGCCGGATTTCTGAAGGCACCACCTTCAGCTTGCCGATTGCCACCCCGGCCCCCTGAAACCAGCGAGTCGCCCATCCCCCCCCCCACCTCCCCCCACCTCCCCCCCCACCCTGCCCACCCCCCGACCCTGCCCACCCCCCCACCCTGCCCCCCTCCTGCCCCCCCATGCAGCCGGCCGTCCGTCGGTCCGGTCCGGCCCAAGGGCGGGGAGCTTCCGGTTTATGGTGCCGCTGGACGAAGCCCTCACGGAGCTGGAGCTGGACTTTTCGCGGGCCGGGAGTGGGGGGGGTCAGGGGGATGTGGGTGGGGGTGAGTGGGTGGGGGGGTGGGTGGTTGGTGGTTGGTGGTTGGGTGGGTGGGTGGGTGGAGTGGTGGTCAGTGGTGGTGGCTGGTGGTTGGTGGTTGAGGGGAAAGCGAAGGCCATCTGGAGTATAGAGGCACTGGAACAATGTGCGGACTGTCTTCCCGGGGGGGCGGGGCTCTATCCCCCACAGCAGAAGAAACCGAGTATCAACTATGTGCAGTTGCCGACCTCTTGGAGATGTTCTTTTAAGGTAAGAGTATTGGCAAAGATTCACTCGACCCTTCTCCTTGCCCTTTGCCCATTTCTGATACTCGTAGGGTCCAACCGTCCAACCTGCCGCCGACGTTCTGCTTGCAGACTTGGGCATCGTCCGCTTCCTCGCTCATGTTGCCCGCGCTGCCCCTTCTCCTTTTCTTTTGGAGGGCCTTCCCAAGATCAACCAACTGATACAAGGCGAAGTGAGACATTCTGTTCCAAGGGTCACAATGTGGCAATCCGTGGCCTCAAGCTACTTTGATTCTTCGGCCCCTACGGCCCAACTCGGCCTGGCGTTCCACAGGCCGGCGCGCCGGCCGAGATCTCGCTGGCGCCCTTCGGGAGGTTCCCCAAGGGCGGGCGGGAGCGGATCGGCGCCTTCCGCCCCGCGGCGGTGTCGAAGTCTTCGGCTCCGCCGTCGTGTTTTTTTTGGGCGTCGTTTTTTTTTTTTTTTTTTTTTTTTTTTAAAGAGCTGGTTTACGGGGGTGCAAAAGCAGGACGGCAGGCAGGTTTTTGTTCTTTCCTCTGCACCTCGTTCTTCTGTTTGGTTGAGGGCACCCTGCTTGGGGATGGGAGTGGAGTCGATTTGCAGACAAGCCCAAAAAGATAGCAGACGGGTCTCTTTGTGAGTGTGCACGCCGCTCTTGGGGACAGTTGCAATTGATGTCGTAGGGGCAATAGGAGTGACTTTGGTCACCAATCGCTTGGTGCTTCCAACGCACTGCATAGCAACAACTCCCAATGAGCGAGGTAGAAAAGCGGAGCTGTTTCTTGATGTGTCCAGGTCCCATGTTGCTCAGGGATACACGCAGCAAACAAACCAGCCAGTGGCACAAGATGACATATGGCATGGGGAAAAGCAGTCTGGCCTAACTTATGATCCACGCAGCAATCTGCAAGGCATCCGAAGTGGTAAGGCTTGGACGAGGATGCTTGAGGGTATTTTTTGCCTCCATTGGCATCCAATTGCAAGCAGCCAGAAGTTGCAAAAGGCCAGGCCGCATTGCCTTCCCGAGCACTGGGCCCTTTTTCTTCCACCAGTACATGCCTTTGTACTATAGTGTAGAACACCCTGTTTGGGTAGTGCAAGGGCTTCCGAATTGACTCAAGCCTCCCTTCCATCTTGGCTTCGCCCACACAGATGCTGACAAAGTTTTGTTTGTATCAGGAGATGGTTTGTCAATCAGGTCCGGCTTTGTGTTGTGCTTCCCTCGAAAGCGCAGAATTGGTCAGCAAACAAATTCAGCTGCGCACCCCGCCTCCATTATGTTCCATTTTGGCCCACTCCTTCCCTCCACCTCAGCAATGCTTTGTAATTCACCCTCCCTTCGGATATAGGCAGCCGAAAAATCGGCCGGGGAAACCGACGATTTCTTTTTGGCGGTCACCCCAAGGATTTTGGACCACACCGCCGCAGAAGGGGGGGGAAAAAAAACTCGAGGAAAAACAACAAAAACACCTAGTCTCAGGGACTCTTGGGCTGGCCCGGTACCCCGGCTAGGTGGCTATGGCTCAAAACCCAAATCGTACCCCCAGTGAACATCCCAATCCCCACGAGAATAGGTCCTAACGGCATCCCGAAACGGTGTTGACCCACGGCCAAGCGAAAATAAGGTGACCTCCCTTTTGAGCCCTGAAAGCTGCAGCTGACTTGGGCAAAGACCCCATAGCTTTCAGCTTTGCTTCGGGTGGCGAAGGTTTTTTTTCGCGGACGAGGATCGATCTGAGGCACCTGCCTCACGGAGGTGGTGCTGGGCGCCCTGGCCACCAGCCTGGGCGTCTTCTTGAAGGCTTGGAGCTGGGGATTTTTTGCAGAGGGGCGCGGGGAGAAGCTTGGCAACGGAGCCCCCCGACCCCATTTTGGAACATCTTACACGTTTTTGTTTGGCTTGGCCCCTGCCCCTTCCATGATTTTTGCTGGGTTTTAGTTTGTTTGAGAGACCCCCTGTTTTGGTGTTGTTCTGCTTAGTTCTTAGAGGGCATCACCCAAATCGAACTGAGCCATGGCCCTAGTTTCACAGTGGTGCATTCTCAAAGTCAAGTTCATTTGTGGGTGGACATCCTCTTGGAGCATCCCCTTGTGGTGATCCCGGTTGTGAGCGGATCCATTGGGCAACCGGACCTGAGATCGAAGTCCGCATTGAGGTGCGGAAGATCCGGGGGGACAATGCCCACCACATCGTCGAGGCGGGTGGGGGGTACAGGCCTGGCGCTTCCGTGCAAGCCACTTTCGCCTGGACCTTTCTGGGGGATAAAACCATGCAAAACTTAGAGGAAGTAAAGCCTGGAGTTCTGGAAGCAGAGGTACCCTCAGTTGGATTGGTGGATTTGGATTTGGATTTGAACCCCTGGCTCTTGTTGAGGTACCCCCTCTAACCTTACCACCAATCCAAATCAGCCATTAGAGGGAAGCTGATTTTTGGAGTGAGGGACACCAAAAGGAACGCCACATGGTTTGGGGGCCCACATCTCTATTTTGACATACCCTTTTGGCCGTGTTCGGAAGGGGATGCTTGAGGAGAACCGCGACTTGCGATTACTTCCAAAAACAAACTCCATGCGTACCAATATTTTGCAACTGTGAGTTGAAGGATTCCGAGTGCCACACTTTGCACCTCTTCTTTGGAGAACGATTCGTGGGTAAGATTATTCTTTTGCTGTTCAATGTAGCCCAGAAGCAGGCCCAACATATTCAGCGCGTCAGGAATAACCGTCAGGCTGGCATTCAAAACAGGATACAATGAGGCTGATAGAGATGCGCTCGCAAGAAGTACGGCCACTTCAGATGTCTTGCGTCTTCTCAATGTGCTTCAGTTACCACAAGAGCTCACACCCTTTTATCTACTTTGGGTTGGAAGGCTCGTCATGGACCTGAGGGAATTGTCACCCATGACAAGGAATCCGGTTTGAAGGGCGCTGTAGCAACATCCTAGCCAACATACTCTGGATGAACAGAATTCTGCACCATTTGGGATCCATGAAGCCCTATGGAACAGGCCGATCGATCGGGGTGGCTTTTTCGTCCATCCCCACTCTGTGAGGCAACCTTCAAAAGCCTGGCACGGTGCCTGCGCTGTGCCATGGACGCCGCCTGCGGCTTCGTGCCCGCGCTTGCCGCGCCCGCGCGGCCAGCCGCGCCGAAAACGGCGCGGGCGGCGCGGAGGCGGCGGGCGACCAAGGCTTGGGGGGCGCGGGTGAATTGGTGCGACCACGGGTGAGCAAAGGGCGGGGTCCAGGGGTCACTATTCAGGGCTGGGTGCGTTTTTTGATTGGGGAACTCCTTGTTGGCTGGTTGAAGAGCCAACCGGAAAGCAACCAACGAAGCTCATTTCGGCGGGTCCGGACAGATTTTGAACCCAGCTCAGAGTTGGCTCAATGAGTTGAGCATCTTGCGAATGGCTGTCGCTTCGGCTCGCCACAGTTTATTGCTGGTTTGGGATACAGGCGTTGTTGGCCTTGAACCTGAGCTTGGCTTTGGTACCTGGGTTGAAGAAGAGCGCTTATTGTGCTCAGTACAACCAACCTCAGCATTGCCAACCCATCAAAGGCTCGGTGCTCGGAAGTCAATGCATGTGTGCTCAGATTCGTTTCACCAGCGTACCAAACTAATGACATGCAAGCCTGTTTCCCTTCCTGCATTGCAGGATGCTGCAGAGGGCCTGAACTTCCGCCCTCTGCAGACAGTTTGACAATTTGAATAGCAGAATCGGCAACTACCGTAGCCTCTCACAGGCGAGTTTGGGAACTAAACAGCAGAATGTCTTGAATGAGATGGTTGGACATGGCCAAACACATCAGTTTGGGAATGCACACATGATGGCGAGTCTGGCAGACTGCTTCTAGTTGTGGGCCTGCATTCCATCCACATAGGGTGACTACGTGCTCCGCAGAACTGATAGGCCCACAGAAGGACTTGAATTTTGGTACGGGCTCCGTCTCCGGCTTCTTTCAAGAGATTTTCGCGCGTTTTGAGGCAGCGCTTCTGCCAACTATCTCCAAGTTGAGCAAACTGCACGTCAGACATTTTAGCCACAACTTCAGGATTAGGGTGCTTTGACTGTCCGAGGCAATACGGATCCGCAAACCAAGCCTTTTTCGGGATAGTTGAAGAGTTTATTTCCGCGTCGGTGTTAGGTGGCTTGGGACCCCAAGTTTTCTCTGAGATTCTTGGAGGAGACGAGCATCGACATCCACCTGGACCTTGATGATGTGCAAACTGCGAGTGAGACGCCTGGTCTGCTTAGCTCAGAGGTCTGTTGACACATTGAGAACAGGCGTGTCATAGCACGTGGTTCCCCAAAAAACATGAGAACCCCTGGCATTGGTCACCAACCCTCTTTAGGGGAAGTCCTTTTGATGGCACAGAGGGTATTGGTTTTAGTTCGACCAGTCCATCTTTTGTGCAAGACGCCCAAGGTTTTGCCATGCCACGCATCCCGAGCACAGGGACACACTGCGTTCTTTTCAGTTTACAGGCATTCGAGCCAAAGATAAGTCAAAGCTGGAGACCCTGCCGCAAAACAAACAAAAACACATCCATTTGGTATGATATTTTGTTGCCATGGTTGCAAACCAATTCTGCGCCTGAAGTCAGTGTATTGGTGAACCTGTGCCGTCAGGTTTCGAGGCGAACTGCTCGCTTGAGAAGCTTCCCCATTCCGGCCTCCCCATGGTTCCGGTTGCTCGAGGTCACGAGTGGTTTCTTCTGAGGATCAGTTTTCTTCCGCGAAGTTGGACTGCTCTTTCTTATGGGCCTTCACCCGGACTGGTTGGTTGGAAGGGTCAGCATGTGTTCGGTTGCCTCTATTGCTTGACAGACGAGACTCAGGCCAGCCAAATTCTTTGGCTTGAGAGGTTTGCAATGCTTCCTTTGACAAGCCGAACAAACAAACGCATGATATATTCGCCACCTTTTCTCTCTTAAAGCAAATATTTTTCTTTCAATGTTGATGAATCACTTTGCCTTGGGCTGGACTACTACCTCGGCGTTCTGGGTGAGAGTTTCCCAGGGGGACTTCCCGAAACGGTGCATGTTTTTCACCTTTGCAATCTGCGTTTCTCCCATCCCATCATCAAACTTCTGGCGTTCTCTCTTCAAAAAAACACCTCCCCTCCCCCGAGTTTCGGGCTTCCAAGATCCAACGGTTTTCGGGGCCACCCTTCGCTCCACCTGGGCCACTCGGGGCTCCGGGGGCATTTTTCGGGCTTTCCGTTCCACGCATCCAGATGCAGGGTTGTGGGATCAAGGGCTTTATCCCCACTTCTGTGGGTTCGTCTTTGATTCGTGGATTCCATTTCCCACAGCCCCGTCCAGATGAGAGAAGTCCAAGCGCTTGCAAATGGCGTTCTCCACCAAAAAAGCTCCCCTCCCCGGGATTTTTTTTTGGGCTCCCCGTTTCTTCTTTCCCCCCAAAAGCTGAAAGCTTTGGGGTCTCAGCCCAGATAGGCTCCGGGTGGTCCGGGGCGGCCCTGAGGGAAGGTTCCATGAGGGTTCCACCAGGGGTCCACCAGGGTTCCACCAGGTTCTGCGAGGGCTGCGGGGTGGTGCGAGCACTAAAAAGAGCACCGCATGCGGTTGGGGATATCACCTCAGTGTTTTTACTTCTTTCTTTCTTTCTTTGTTTCTTTCTTTCTTTCTTTCCTTCCTTCTTTCCTTCTTTCTTTCTTTCTTTCTTTCTTTCTTTCTTTCCTTCCTTCTTTCCTTCTTTCTTTCTTTCTTTCTTTCTTTCTTTCTTTCTTTCTTTCTTTCTTTCTTTCTCGGGCTTGTCCTTTCAAACGCCATCCCGCTGAGAGCAGATCCCACTTGGCAACGGGGGGAATTCGCCTCGAGGATCGCCACGGGGCTGGGCACCTTGGACGCGCTGCTCGCGGAGCTCTGCCGCGGCTTTCGTCTGACGGCGCAGTGCAGCGGGGACACCTGGATCGACGAGCACCACAGCGCGGAGGACGTGATGATCACGGCGTCTTGGGGATTTTTTGTGGGGCGTTTCTGTCTTTTTTTTTGAGGGGGGAAGGGGGGGGAGCATGATGGAGACTTATGGGTCATTGTTTTTGTGATTTTGTGGGGCGTTCTGTTTTTTGTGGGGAAGGGGGGGGAAGGGGGAAGGGGGAGCATGATGGAGACTTATGAGTCAAGTTTTGCAAGCGGCTTATTCTGGAGTGTTGGTTTTGGTAGGTTCTGGGGTGCAAATTCACTTCTGAGTGGTCTATGGCCGAGGGGGTGGGTGGGTGGGTGGGTGGGTGGGTGGGTGGGTGGGTGGGTGGGTGGGTGGGTGGGTGGATGCCCTAAAGGTGGAACCCATTGATGTACCATGCTGGTTCTACAGGAGCGACTTTTGAGGCAAGTGGAGCGATGGCGTGGCTTTCGGATTGGTCGCACAAGCGTTGGTGAAGAAGAGCTAAGGGCCCCGTGATCCCGGAAGCCAAATTCATGAGCGCGGGAGAAGGTGTGGGGCGAGGAGACTTTTTCTCCTTTGGGAAGAGCAACCCCTCTCCGAACCAAGAGAACCATGCCACCGGAGGGGGGGGGGGGGTTAGGTGGTCGGCAGTTCCATCAAGTGGGAAGAAACGTGGAACTGACGGGGGGAGGAGGGGGGAAGGGGGTTAGGTGGTGGTTGGACCTGACCACTTGACCAGTTTCGGCAGTTGCATCGAGTAGGATGGTTGCTTCTTGAAGGTGGGAACCATTGACAGGTGGAATGCCAGTGGTTTGATGGATATGGGTGTGGTTAGATAGGTTCCCAAAATGGGTTACCCAGGTAGAGGGAAACAAAGACGATGTAAAACCCGCGGTCCATATCCTGGTGGCAACTAATTTTGACAACCACACCCGGTTTGCCCAAACATGATGGGAAGCTGCGCTGAGCTGCTGTTTCGAAGCAACGGGATCCCTGGCCGCATTGAAATCATACCATCCCGCATACTTTTTTGTTTTTTAGCTTGAAAGCCAATGCCGGGGGTCGACTCTCCCCGTTTTTGCGGCCTGTGGATGGTTGCGAACTCTATTTCACACCTGAAAAACACCATGGTTGAGTTTTATATAACGGTCTGTTGGTACAGGAGGAAAATGTCCCCGAAACCCCAGGGGTGGTCTTCTCGTGGGTGATCATTTGCATGAGGAATATATAGTTTCTATGAAAAGCCTATCAGCAATCTTCTGGAAGCTTTTGAGAAGAAGTTTATAACTCAAATTTAAGAAGCTGGGGTGAGAAAAGTGAGGTGCGAGAACTTTGGAGAAGGAGTTATAACTCAAGTTTATTAAATCCTTCGTTTGAGAAAATAAAGGTGAGGTGCGAGCTAGGCGGCGGAATTTCGCGTCGCGTGCTCTTCCGCCTGGAGGTGGGACAGGCGACGGCGGAGGCGCTGGGGCCGAAGGCGGGATGCTGCCGGATGGCCTGGGCTGAGCAGCGAAGCGGCGCAGCGGAGGCGAAGTGGGGGGAAGGGGGTGGTTTTGGTGGTGTTGGTATGTTGTTTTTGTTTTTCGGTGTTGTTGTTTTTTTTTTTGGGGGGGGAGAGGGGCTTGGTCGTTTGCTTCTGGTGGGTGGGTGGGTTGATTGGTTGGTGGCTGGTTGGGGTCAGAATGCAGGTTTTGGTTGAGGGGGGGGGGGGGAAGGGGCTGCGTGGTTGGAGAGGAGGGACGGAAGCTCAGGAGAGGGTAGCGGGGCCCTTCTGGTGCAGGCTTTCCACGTTTGCCAGCGTGGCTGGGGGGCGTGGGACAGTTAGCTTGAAATAACTTTTATCAAAAAGGGGAAGGCGCAAAATGGTTGCTTTCCTTTTGGTTTCCCTTCAAATACCGACCAGAACGGGAGGTTCTTTCAGAAAAGACGCCCACGCAGCCCAAGCATGTTGCTTTTTCTCGTCTCAAAGTAGAACGCGGAAGCCAACCCATTGTTTGGGTCCCCTTTGCGACACACCCACTTTGCAAGCTGCATCCATCCATGGATCTTGGGATGGCAGCGTGTCCCGCCGCCCCGAGAAAAGCCCCCCATTTCCCGGATCCGCAGCCAAGACGCCGGATGCCTGGTGCCGAGAGCCAGGTCCTTTGCGTCATGGACCTCTCCAACCGCCCATCCTTCTGTGCCATGTCTCTTATTATTTTTTCTTCGGTGCACATCTTGCAGCTCAGAGTGAATCTGCACCATGGCTTGTGATGAACTTAGATATCTTGGCTGTAGCCCTATTTTAACGCCTCCGGCTCAGGCCGCCGACATTACAGGCCTGCTTTCTTACTTGCGTCCCTTTGGAATTGTCCCCTTGCCCCCTTCCCCTCTGAGATTTTTGCCCCCCTTTCATTGTTGAGATCCATTCCCCCTTTCCGCCCTAAGGCCTTTTCTCCCTCTGATTTTTTCCCTTTTCCTCCCTAAGATGTTTTACCCCCTCTCCCTGTTGAGATCCTTTCCCCCCTTTCCCCCCTAAGGCCTTTTCCTCCCTGAGATCTTCTCCCTTTTCCTCCCTTTCCCCCACTTTCCCCCCTACGGCCTTTTCCTCCCTGGGATCTTTTCCCTTTCCTCCCTGAGATCTTTCCCCCCCTTTCCCTGTTGAGATCCTTTCCACCCTTTCCCCCCTACGGCCTTTCCCCCCGCTGAGATCTTCTCCCTATTCCTCCTTAAGATCCTTTGCCCCCTTTCCCTGTTGAGATCCTTTCCCCCCTTTCCTTTAAGGCCTTTCCAGATCTTCTCCCTTTTCCTTCCTAAGATTGTTTGCCCCCTTTCCCTGTTGAGATCCTTCCCACCCTTTCCCCCCTCCTTTCCCCCCCCCTGAGAGCTTCTCCCTTTTCCTTCCTTAGATCTTTCCCCCCTTTCCCTGTTGGCCTTTTTTTCCCCAGATCTTCTCCCTTTCCTCCCTAAGATCTTTTCCACCCCTTTCCCTGTTGAGATCATTTCTCCCCTTTCCCCCCTAAGGCCTTTGCCCCCAGATCTTCTCCCTTTCCTCCCTAAGATCTTTCCCCCCTTTCCCTGCTCAGATCCTTTCCCCCCTTTCCGCCCTAAGGCCTTTCCCCCCCTGAGATCGCCACCTTTCCCTGTTGAGATCCATTCCCCCTTTCCCCCCTAAGGCCCTTTCTCCCTCTGAGTTTTTCCCTTTTCCTCCCTACGATGTGTTCCCCCCTCTCCCTGTGAGATCCTTTCCCTCCTTTCCCCCCTAAGGCCTTTTTTCCCCCCGCGATCTTCCCCCTTTTCCTTCCTAAGATCTTTTCCCCCCTTTCCTTGTTGAGATCCTTTCCCGCCCTTTCCCCCCTAAGGCCTTTCCCCCCCTGAGATCTTCTCCCTTGTCCTCCCCAAGATCTTTTCCCTTGGTTGAGATCCTTTCCCCCTTTCCCCCCAAGATCTTCTCCCTTTTCCTCCCTAGGATCCTCTCCCACCTTGCCCTGTTGAGCTCCTTTCCCCCTTTTCCCCCTAAGGCCTTTTCAGATCTTCTCCCTTTTCCTCCCGAAGATCCTTAGGGGGGCAAGGGGGAATGGATCTCAACAGGGAAAGGTGGCAAAAGATCTTAGGAAAAAAAAGGGAGAAGATCTCTGGGGGGGGAAGGCCTTAGGGGGGAAAGGGGGGAAAGGATCTGAGCAGGGAAAGGGGGGGAAAGATCTTAGGGAGGAAAGGGAGAAGATCTGGGGGCAAAGGCCTTAGGGGGGAAAGGGGAGAAATGATCTCAACAGGGAAAGGGGTGGAAAAGATCTTAGGGAGGAAAGGGAGAAGATCTGGGGGAAAAAAGGCCAACAGGGAAAGGGGGGAAAGATCTACGGAAGGAAAAGGGAGAAGCTCTCAGGGGGGAAAGGCCTCAGGGGGAAAGGGTGGGAAGGATCTCAACAGGGAAAGGGGGGATCTTCTTAGGAAGGAAAGGGGGGGGAAGATGTTAGGGAGGAAAGGGAGAAGATCTGGGAGAAAAGGACTTAGGGGGGAAAGCCCAACAGGGAAAGGGGGGAAAAGATCTTAGGAAGGAAAAGGGAGAAGCTCTCAGGGGGGGGAAAGGCCTTGGGAGGGAAAGGGGGGAAAGGATCTCAACAGGGAAAGGGTGGGAAAGATCTTAAGGAGGAAAGGGGGGGGAAGATCTTAGGGAGGAAAGGGAGACGATCTGGGAGAAAAGGACTTAGGGGGGAAAGCCCAACAGGGAAAGGGGGGAAAAGATCTTAGGAAGGAAAAGGGAGAAGCTCTCAGGGGGGGGAAAGGATCTTAAGGAGGAATAGGGAGAAGATCTCAGCGGGGGGAAAGGCCTTAGGAAGGAAAGGAGGGAAAGGATCTCAACAGGGAAAGGGGGGGAAAGATCTCAGTGAGGAAAGGGAGAAGATCCCAGGCAGGGAAAAGGCCTTAGGGGGGAAAGGGGGAAAGGATCTCAACAGGGAAAGGGGGAAAAGGGAAATCTTTCTCGGGGGGAACAGGCCCTAAGAGGCAATGAAGGGGGAAAAAGACTTTGGGAAGAGAAGGGTGGAGATCTTGGGGGGAAAAGGCCTTAGGGGGGAAACGGGGGAAAGGATCTTAAGCGGGAAAGATCTTAGGGAGGCAAAGGGAGACGAACTCAGGGAAAAGGACTTAGGGAGGAAAGGGGGGGAAAGATCTTTGGGAGGAAAAGGGAGAACTGAGGGTGGGAAAAGGCCTTAGAAGGAAAAGGGGGGAAATAAATGATCTCAACAGGGAACTGGGGGCGGGGGGAAAGATCTTAGGGAGGAAAGGCAGAAGATCTGGGGACAAAGGCCTTAGGGGGGAAAGGGGAGAAATGATCTCAACAGGGAAAGGGGTGGAAAAGATCTTAGGGAGGAAAGGGAGAAGATCTGGGGAAAAAAGGCCAACAGGGAAAGGGGGGAAAAGATCTTAGGAAGGAAAAGGGAGAAGCTCTCAGGGGGGGAAAGGCCTTGGGAGGGAAAGGGGGGAAAGGATCTCAACAGGGAAAAGGGTGGGAAAGATCTTAGGGAGGAAAGGGGGGGGGGGAAGATCTTAGGGAGGAAAGGGAGAAGATCTGGGAGAAAAGGACTTAGGGGGGAAAGCCCAACAGGGAAAGGGGGGAAAAGATTTAGGAAGGAAAAGGGAGAAGCTCTCAGGGGGGGGAAAGGCCTTAGGGGGGAAAGGGGGAAAAGGATCTCAGCAGGGAAAGGGGGGGGGGGAAAGATCTTAGGGAGGAAAGGCAGAAGATCTGGGGACAAAGGCCTTAGGGGGGAAAGGGGAGAAATGATCTCAACAGGGAAAGGGGTGGAAAAGATCTTAGGGAGGAAAGGGAGAAGATCTGGGGGAAAAAAGGCCAACAGGGAAAGGGGGGAAAGATCTAAGGAAGGAAAAGGGAGAAGCTCTCAGGGGGGGGAAAGGCCTGAGGGGGGAAAGGGTGGGAAGGATCTCAACAGGGAAAGGGGGGAAACAATCTTAGGAAGGAAAAGGGAGAAGATCTGGACAGGCCTTAAAGGGAAGGGGGGAAAGGATCTCAACAGGGAAAGGGGGCAAAGGATCTTAAGGAGGAATAGGGAGAAGATCTCAGCGGGGGGAAAGGCCGTAGGGGGGAAAGGGGGGAAAGGATCTCAACAGGGAAAGGGGGGGAAAGATCTCAGTGAGGAGAGGGAGAAGGTCCCAGGCAGGGAAAAGGCCTTAGGGAGGAAAAGGGAGAAGATCTGAAAAGGCCTTAGGGGGAAAAGGGGGAAAGGAGCTCAACAGGGAAAGGTGGGAGAAGATCCTAGGGAGGAAAAGGGAGAAGATCTCGGAAGGAAAGGGGGAAAGGATCTCAACCAAGGGAAAAGATCTTGGGGAGGACAAGGGAGAAGATCTCAGGGGGGGAAAGGCCTTAGGGGGGAGAGGGGGGAAAGGATCTCAACAGGGAAAGGGGGCAAAGGATCTTAGGGAGGAAAAGGGAGAAGATCTTGGGGGGGAAAACGCCTTAGGGGGGAAAGGGCGGGAAAGGATCTCAACAAGGAAAGGAGGAAAAGATCTTAGCAAGGAAAAGGGGGAAGATCGCGGGGGGAAAAAAGGCCTTAGGGGGGAAAGGAGGGAAAGGATCTCAACCGGGAGAGGGGGGAAAACATCGTAGGGAGGAAAAGTGAAAAACTCAGAGGGAGAAAGGGCCTTCCCAAAGATCTTTTCCCCCCTTTCCCCCTTAAGGCATTTTCCCCTTTCCCCCCTTCATTTCCTTCACCAGCACGCGCAACATCCCCAGCATCACTTGCATCATTTGCTTCTTGGCAGGCGCTGATGCGGATGATGCAGGTGATGCTGGGGATGTGCCGCTTGAGCTGCTAAGGATGCGAAAGCGCACCCGGGGGGAATCGAACACCCCAATGTTTTTGACAAACTGAGTTGCGCAAGCCCGCACAATGAACAGATTTAGTGAAGCGTCTTCGAATCACCGCGTGGTACGTGGATTTCCCCGCCCCCGGCAATAGTCTGAAATGGTGCCCCTGGGGAGGGGTTAGGGGAGGGGTAACAGGTAAAGAGGTAAGGAGCATTTTTTGTGTCCAACACGCCGTCTGTTGTCGGCGGATTTGGTTGGATCTTCAGACTTTAGGTTTTCTGGGACGAAGTGAGGATTCCCACCAAACAGCAAGCACAACAAAGCTTTTTGCACAGGGGCAGAGGTTTCCAAGACTGGCAGCATGGCAACCCAGGGAATGAACTTGGGCGTGCTCCAGAAATGGACAAACGATCCAACTAAGAAAGCCGTCCTGGGACCAGGACTTCTCTGCTTGCTGTTGACTTGCAGAGCAGTGGAGATAGCCCCCTGATCATGACAAGCACAACATCATGGTTGTTTGGTGGGTATGAACACTTTAAAGAGTTCAGAGTTTTTTTTCTTCCCCCGACGCTCTCCCGCTGACGCCCAGCGTTCCACACCCGGACAGCCGAGGCAGTGACTTGCAGCTGGACGAAGAGATGGCTGGGGACCTGCCTTCTGAGCGCCTTGGTTTGCCCAGTTCCGGTCCGTGAGTGGTTGGTCCTTAGAACCAGGCATCCCTTTTGCATTGACGTCTCGTCTCACATGACGCGCGCCCGAGGATGGTCCACCACTGCTTCGAGTCCTTTGCGAGGGCCTCGGTCCTCTGAAAGCCCACTGGAAGCGGACAACCCCCCTACTAGACGACAGGGGTTCCACTTAGATCCGGGAACCCCCCCCACTAGCTGGTGAAGCACCTGAAAAAGCGCATGCATAAGGGTGAGATGTTGGTCAGGGTGCTTCTGATATTTCTTGTTTGAGGGTGGCCCTTCTGCATTTTTGACCCCTATTTCGACACACCTATGTTCTTGCAATGCCGCAAGTTCCTCTCGTGCTCAGGTCACAAACGCGCTGATGACTGTGCACCTGGTGCAGGCCGCCGTGAACTCCTCTTGTTGCCGGAACTGGGGGGGGGGGGGTTTGGTGGGCGGCCTGCGTTTGCATGCCCAAGTCTATGGCCTTAAGTCTATGGCCCCAAGAGCAAAGACAAATGCAGAGTGTGAGCTTGTTGAGCGATCTCGGCTTTTGCGTATGTGATACTGAGGAGGGGATTCAGGGTAGCTTCACACATACTTCTCTTCCTGATATCGATGTGATTGAATCTGGGAAGAGCTCTTTTGTCAACATGGCTGCGAAGACTCTCTGTTTGTCACTCGAGATGCTTGACACAACATGTTGGGTTGACGGGGGGGTTTGTCCGGACTTTCATGCCCCGCGCATGCCGATCCTCAGCGTGTTCGCGGCTGTCGGGGGCCGGGGGGGGGGGGAACTGGGGGGGGGGTTGGAAAGAACACGGGTCCACGTTTCCAGCATGTCGAGGCCAACCTGTGTTTCAAACTAGTCAATCCCGACCCCCCAGCCCCACACGCCATGTGACTTCTCCGCTATCTGTGCGCTCTACGCAACTGCGCAGTCCTATTTGCTTGTCTGACACGTTGCCACTTTTCCGCAGGGGGCTTGGGGGCCTTCTTGCGTTTGAAGGAGCTACCTTCCCGAATGCTGGTTTTTGTCTCCGCTGCGCTCACAGTACCGAGCAGGAACGGAAGTTCAGCCAGCAAGTTATCAGCGCAGCTCATGACTTGTTTGCTTCGCATGTGCAAGGCAGCCCGGGCTGGACAGCTGCATGAAAGTGTTGGTGGCATTCTCAAGGTCTCTCACTAAGAGAGTCAGGCCACAGTCCTGGAGCCTGCTTCAAGCAAATGAGAATGCTGCGCCTGCCAGCACCGCGTATTCGAATCTGAGATTCGAACATGCAAAGTTGGACATTTGCCACTGCTATTCGCATAGGATTTGCGCATTTCCCAACCCACGTCCAAGAGTGACCGTCATTCGGTCCGGGCAAACCCCCCCGGCAACCCAACATGTTGGAAAGGATGGGTGCTAGAATCCAAAAGGTGAAAGTCATTTCCTCAGGCTTGTGATCACCGTCCCTCCAACGGAAACTGACAGGAGAGGTTTGGAGTCTCTTTTGGGGAAGCTTGCAAGACATAGACTAGGTATTTTTTTTACGTGCTCCCCGCCTCCATTCCCTTCAGCGAGGGCACCATGCTCAGTCCGTCTAGTGCTTTTCGTTTTGTGTTCATAGCACTGGCAGGTCTTTGGTAGAACCTTAGCCCCGACATCTTTTGGAAACCGTTTGTTCCCCCAATGAACCTGCAAACAGTTCTTGTTTTGGCTCGGGGTTCCTCCCACTCAGCTCAGAATGTGGAGGGGTCTCAAAGGCAACCCCGCCCAAATGGGCGGTTTCCCTTTTTGGTTTTCCTCAAACAACCCCTACCTGGGCACGGTTCCCTTCGACCCCGTGTTTTTTTGCGCTCCAGAAAGGCGCGCTATCGCAGCAACTTGCAGATCTGTCACCACTGCCTAATTCTTCTACCCTTTTCAAGTCCAGAAGCAAACCGGGGCTCCCGCACCACTTGTTTTTCTTTGTGAAGAAACCATTTAAACGTAGCGAGCCTCAGAAAAGACGACAGGTGGTAAGGCTTGTCTTTGGCGTCCCCGGTTTTTTTCTCAAATGGCCAGGGGTCGAACTCCGAGCAATTTGGCCGGTGGCTGCTAGCCGTTTCTTTGTGCCTGTGTCACAAACGAGGGGGCTGTCTGAAACATGAGGTTGCCCCTTATGGGGCCATGGGAAAAATGCAGGGCCCGCCTTGGGTCCGAAAAATGGGAGCGGTTCATATGGCCATGGGTCAAAATCCCGTAACTTGAGTCAACATCCCAATCCCCACTAAAATCCCGACTAAAATGGGTGGTGCACCTACCAACCAAAATGGGATCCCATTGGATTTTTTGTTAACCACCGCCTTGTTGGCTTTAAAAGGAACTCATCACTACTGTTTTTTTTTTGGCTTCTGGCGCCTTAAGCCAAAACTGAAGGTTGCACCACGCTGCACCCGTTGAAGCCGCACCCAGCTCCCCGCCAGAAGCGAGGTGAAACCCGGGGGCGCCAAGGACCTCGCCTTGGCGGCCGCCAAGGCGAGTCGGGGGTCGGGGGTCGCTGACGCCGGCTAAGGGCTTTGGAGATGGAGAGGGGGGGGGGTGGATCTTCGGTTTTTCCTTTTCTTGTGTTTCTCGGTTTTAAGTCTTCAACCTTCTTTTTTCTTGGTTTGAAATCTTTAACTTTGTTTTTGGTTAAGGGGGTGTCGATCTTCATCTTTTTGGGGCAAATGGGGGGGAACTCTAGGCCTTGGATTGACAGATGCTGTAGAAACAATTTTGCATGACAACTGTTGCCTTGCCGTGCTTCGGTTGAATTTTAGGGGGGTTTTCGGCGATAGAGAGATGTTCTCCTTCGAAGCTTCACATGTTGAAGCATGTGGGAACTGGAAAGTGGCCCGGGCCCAACGTAGGGGCCAGATGGTTCTACTTCCTGGTCTTATGGGGGTTGAAGGAAGGCTTAAAGCCTTTTATGGCCGTGTTGGTGGAGCCAACAACTAGCTCGGCTTTGGGGGCCGCTCAAAATAACATAGGACAACTTCCTGAGGTGGAGGGAAAGCTCAACCCTCCTCTTGCTGCTTCTCAGGGTCCCTGAGAAATGGAATGCCCCCCCCCAAAGCCATCCATCCCCTCTGATTTCCACTTTTCCGATTTTTCCTGAGGCCACCCGGAGAAAGTTCAACCCACACCCGGAGTTTCCCCACCCCACCTACAATTTCTCATTTTTGTTGGGGGTCTTCCTTCCACCCACACCCGGACTCGCAGGGTCATTCCCCACCGATCGCCGCAGCCGTGGGAGGCCACCGGCGAGGCGCTGAAGCAGCGCCTTTGAGCTGTTGGGTTCGGAGCATCGGAGTCGTGACAGCTGAGGGGATCGCCTTCATGGAAAAGCACCCAACTCTCTTTTCTTGTTCTTTCACCCAACTCTTTTTTTTGTTCTTTCACCTAACTCTCTGTTTTTGTTCTTTCACCCAACTCTGTTTTGTTCTTTCACCCAACTCTCTTTTCTTGTTCTTTCACCCAACTCTCTTTTTTTGTTCTTTCACCTAACTCTCTGTTTTTGTTCTTTCACCCAACTCTGTTTTTGTTCTTTCACCCAACTCTCTTTTTTGTTCTTTCCCCCAACTCTCTTTTTTATTGTTTTTCTTTTTTTTTTGTTCTTTCACCCAACTCTTTTTTGATTCTTTCACCCAACTCTTTTTTTTTTGTTCTTTCCCCCAACTCTCTTGTTTATTGTTTTTCTCTTTTTTTGTTCTTTCACCCAACTCTCTTTTTTTGTTCTTTCACCCAACTCTCTTTTTTAGTTCTTTCATTGTTTTTGTTCTTTCACCCAGCTCTCTCTATTTTGTTCTTTCACCCAACTCTTCTTTTTGGTTCTTTCACCCAACTCCTCTTTTTTTGGTTCTTTCACCCAACCTTATTTTTGGTTCTTTCACCCAACTCTCTTTTTTGGGTTCTTTCACCCACTCCCTTTTTTTGTTCTTTCACCCAACTCTCTTTGTTTGTTCTTTCACCCAACTCTATGTTTTTGTTCTTTCACCCAACTCTTTTTTTTGTTCTTTCACCCAACTCTTTTTTTTGTTCTTTCACCCACTCTCTTTTTTCGTTCTTTCACCGAACTCTCTTTGTTTGTTCTTTCACCCAACTCTTTGTTTGTTCTTTCACCCAACTCTTTTTTTTGTTCTTTCACCCACTTTCTTTTTTTTGTTCAGTCACCCAACTCTCTTTTTTTGGTTCTTTCACCCAACTCTATGTTTTTGTTCTTTCACCCAACTCTTTGTTGTGTTCTTTCATCCAGCTCTCTTTGTTTGTTCTTTCACCCAACTCTATGTTTTTGTTCTTTCACCCAACTCTTTTTTTTGTTCAGTCACCCAACTCTTGTTTTTGTTCTTTCACCCAACTCTCTTTTTTTGTTCTTTCACCCAGCTCTCTTTATTTTGTTCTTTCACCCAACTTTTTGTTTTGTTTTTTTCACCCAACTGTTCTTTTTGGTTCTTTCACCCAACTCTCTTGTTTTTGTTCTTTCACCCAACTCTTTTTTTGTTCTTTCACCCAACTCTCTTTGTTTGTTCTTTCACCCAACTCTCTTTGTTTGTTCTTTCACCCAACCTTGTTTTTTGTTCAGTCACCCAACTCATTTACTTGTTCTTTCACCCAACCCTCTTTTTTTGTTCTTTCACCCAACTCTTTTTTTTGTTCTTTCACCCAACTGTTCTTTTTGTTCTTTCACCCAACTCTCTTTGTTTGTTCTTTCACCCAACTCTATGTTCACCCAACTCTTTTTTTAGTTCTTTCACCCAACTCTCTTTTTTTGGTTCTTTCACCCAACTCTTTTTTTTTTTTGGTTTTTTCACCCAACTGTTCTTTTTGGTTCTTTCACCAAACTCTCTGTTTTTGTTCTTTCACGCAACTCTTTTTTTGTTCTTTCACGCAACTCTCTTTTTGGTTCTTTTACCCAACTTCCTTTTTTGTTGTTTCACCCAACTCTCTTTTTTAGTTCTTTTCTGTGTTTTTGTTCTTTCACCCAGCTCTCTTTATTTTGTTCTTTCACCCAACTCTTCTTTTTGGTTCTTTCACCCAACTCCTCTTTTTTTTGTTCTTTCACCCAACTCTCTTTTTTTGTTCTTTCACCCAACC